ATGGAATCAAAGAAATGTTCAAAGTGGAGCTCTTCCTTTGCGTGAAATAAGAATGCAATGTGCCAATGTTAAATGATCATTATCTGCAACCCTGCATTTTCTTTACCATGAGGGGAAGTACAGTTAAATTGTATTTTTTTGGGCAACATATCCTTAGCATTATTCTTTCTTTGCGTGAAATTTTTAAGTTTGACAATTTAGATACCTTTTCTGCTTATTGGTATGGTATAGCTGTCTCATTATTTAGTGGTTGAGTCTAGGTTTTCAATATGTTTCTATATTACATTTTATGATGTACATTTCAATGCTGGTTTTTACATCCTGCAGAACGTGATGAGTTAAGAAAAGACATCGAACAATTATGTATGCAGCAAGCTGGTTCTAGTTACCTTTCTGTGGCTACTCGAATGCATTTTCAAAGGTACCATAGTTTTTCCAATTTAATTTCCTTTGCTACCCATCACATGAAAAAGGAGGGGAGAGGTAGGCTTCCATGTGTATAATGTAGTTGGAGGTTGGCCTTGGACATATTGAAATGGTTGAATTATATTAGGATCACTAAACGTTTATGCCCATATTAGGACAGCTGGCTTGGAACAGGAGATTGAGAACCTGAAACATAAGTTTGCTGCTTGTACCAGGGAGAATCACAATCTTCAAGAGGAGCTCGCAGAAGCCTACAGAATAAAAGTATGATGGTTAGTTTTCATATAAGTTTCAGGGATAGACCTCCTTTACTACGTTATAATTTATATTTCCCTTCAATGTCACCAGAGTCAGCTGGCAGAACTGCACAGTTCAGAGGTTACAAAGGTCTTTTTCTTGACTCATGCTCTTGTGCACTTGTGCTTCTTTTAGTAACAAATTGTAAAACATTGGAAATACGACACCATCATTATTCATTAATAAAAATAAGTTTACGAAAGAGCGAGGAGGGAGGGACTGAGATGTTTTTTAGCTAAAATTCAACGTGTGAAGCGTTCTGTTCAATAGTAGTTGCTTCATCCTCCATCTCATTTGTAATAATTTTTTTTTTATATAAGAAACATTTCATTGATGAGATAAAAACATTTCATTTGTAATTATATACATTCTCTGTTTCCAGAATTCGGAATCAGAGAAGCAGCTTAAATTTTTCCAAGGTTGTGTTGCTGCTGCTTTTGCTGAACGGGATCATTCCATTATGGAGGTTAGGTCATGCAAGTCCTCATTATAAAAAATAATTATAATTTTCTTCTCTTTCTAATAAAAATTGAAATTTAAATATGATTGGTAACAGGCTGAGAAGGCGAAGGAGAAAGAAGATTCAATGTCACAAAAGCTTAAAGAGGTCCAAGATAGGTACTTCATTTCTTTCCATCAGATGTTGGTTGCTGAAAAACCACGTTAGAGCGAAACAGTGAATCATGTGCGAATAATTAATTAACCTACTATTTCTTGTGAGTGACAAAGAACCACAAAGAAGAGAACAAATTGTAATTAGAGTATTCGAAAGCTATCAATTTCGAATCTCAATATTTTTAACCATGCTTGAAAGATGCTAGAAAGTCTAAACATTAAAAGACAACCTACTTCCAACTGAACCAAACATCCAACTAAACTAAGCAGCCACAGGACCGTATACTTACTAAACTAAAACAGACAATAAACCATCACATGAACTCGTAGAATTATCCTACACAGTGGGAGAGCTGAAGATCTAACAGTAGGTGGACAAATATTTATTTCTTTTCCTTTCACAGGAATTGTGTTTATGTCCTCTTCTTCTCAGGATGTGTTTTGGCTATATTGGGTGTGAAACTGTGTTAGATAGTTTAGCTTCATAATTGTGTTCTTCCCCTCATCTTTGTTCCTTTTTGTTTCTGGTTGGAATAGCTTTCAAACGTATTTGTGGAGTTATAAATGGTGGTGGACAACATATTTTCTAGAAACTGGTGCTTTTAATGTCCATATTTTGTATTTTATGGGATTCTTCCCACTTCCCGACCTCTCCTTTCTGTTTCATCCCCCACCCAATCAGGATATGTCTTATGTTGGTGATATGCAGGGTAGAAGAGCTGTCTTCCGATTGTTGTAAACTGAGGGAATCTAACGATACACTAAGCATTAACCTAGCCAAGCAAGAAGAGGAGAATGAGGTCTCGAAACAGGTACCTACCCATACAAGTCCTTCCCCTCCCGTCCTCCCTCTGTTCTGATATTTTGAACATCTTGTTTTCATAAAAAGGTTTAATGGTGTCTGAGCAATTTCAATAATCTAGTTAGATGTTCATCATTTCAGCTCTGCAATGAACAAATTGATCTTGGTTATAAAACCATATTACACCCGTCTAAAACTGTAAAGTAATGAACCTGGATGCCCTATTGTATTATATATTTTTGTCCCAGGAGTTTTATATTGACATATTTCTTGCCAACTTCGTCTATTGGATAGAGAAAATACTAGAGTTACCATAAGTTGCAGATTGGCTCTGCCAAGTGACCTGAGAAATAGGTTTTCTTTTTACCATGGTAGCAGTAGTTTTTGTGGTGAAGGGAATATTTAAAATAGTTTTGTGTTTTTCTAATCGTTGTTTCTGATTTGAAATTCTCTATGTTCCTATCCAGAGTATTCAATATCTAATATGGAGTTCATAGCATAAAGTTCTTCATTTTATGCCGTTGCACAATTCTAATGGCCATTTTCTCTCTATTTATTAGGTTATCAATAAGTTTTATGAGATCAGGGAGAAGTATTTCGAAGGATTTGAAAATACTAGCTGGGACGAAAAATGTCGATGTCTTTTACATGATCCTCCAGAAATGTGGAGTTTTAACGACAATTCAACGTCGAGATATATAGTAAGTTTCCATTAAGCAATTGGCTTTTTTTCCATGATTCGATCTTATTTGGTAAAACGCACTTTTGGTTCCTGAGTTTGAAGATAGGTTTTTATTTGGTTCCTAAGTTTCAAAAAAGTGACATTTTGATCCCTGACATTTAGAAAATAGTTCTAAAAGGTCCCTGGAGTTAAATTTCCGTTAGTGTCATTAACGAAATGTTGATGACTGACGTGACTTTGAGAGATGAATATTTAATTATTTTATATTATATTTTAATTAGGTGTTAATTTTTTTTCTAAATTTCCCTTTCTCTCTCTTCCCTTCTCCTCCTTCTCCGGTTCGTTTTCCCTCCCCCCACCTCTCTCCCTCTCTACAAAATCCATGGAATCAAGTATTACAGCGTCCATTATCTTCCCGCAAAAAACAATTCCACCGGGTGACGAACTTATTTGCTGCTTAAAATCGGTGTGAAGCTTTAACAATTCGTGCAAGGATGCTGATTCTGATTTGTTAATCGGAAAACTAACTCCGATTCTCAAACTTTAACAATTCGTACAATTCCACCAGCCTCCGACTTTGATTCGTTAATAGGAAAACCGCGAAAAGAGAGAGTGTCGTCGTCTACTAGGTTCAAAACATCTGGATCATGCTCCATTACTGCCATTGAAGTACAAAATTGTTTTGGAGGTGAAATTATTGTGAAATTAATTAAGGTAGATGAGATGAAGATGGTGTTGTAAGAGCGGGTAAAGATCCATTAAATAGCAGAGAAAGAGGGAATGAGGAGGATGCTTCTGGAAGGCGAAAGATTGATTTGATCCATCAATTTGAGTCCATGGATTTTGTAGAGGGTGGGGAGAGAAAACAAGGGATAGAGGTGGGGCTAAGTCCATGGATTTTGTTGAGAGAGGGGAGAGAAAACGAGGGAGAGAGGTGGGGGAGAGAAAACGAACCGAAGAAGGGGGAGGGAAGAGAGAGAAAGGAAAAAAAATTAACACCTAATTTAAAAAATAATATAAAATTATTAAATATCCAACACACCAAAGCCACGTCAGCATTTTGTTAATGATGCTAACGGAAATTTAACTCCAGGACCTTTTAGAACTATTTTCTAAAGGTCAGGGACCAAATTGTCACTTTTTGAAACTTGGGGACCAAATAGAAATCTATTTTCAAACTCAAGAACCAAAAGTGTATTTTACCCTTTAAATTATTATTTGCCTGGATTATTTGATATGGAATTGATTTTCTTTTCTTTTTCTGGTGATTTATTTCTATGTTAATGTAATTATTTATTATACATGCTGCAAATTTCTACCATTCCTAAATGGAACATGATGCCCAATTGATTGAGGGAAGGGGCTTAGTTATGCTTAATTTTTAATTGGAATATGAATAAACATTTTGCCTAATTAAGATAGGCAAGTACCTGAGAAATTCAGCTTGCATCATATGTTCTTTTTCTTTTGGTAAGAAACAAAAGATTATAGAGAGCTGTGAGAGTACAGACTAAAGACGAAGGGATGAGAAATCCCCCTTCCCAAAAGACCTACATAACTACAGCTTTTCAATCTCTGTTGATCATAGATAACTGTAATTACAAAGGAATTTATGGTTGTTTAGACATCACCTAGAAGCAGTAATTTGTACACTACTACAAAAAGAATCAAAAGGGTGGTTAAGATGGTTGAATATACGAAGATTTCTCTCGTCACAAAAGTGCCCTAGCTGCATTAATCCATAAAACATTCAGTTTTCCTTTGAACCGTCATCCTTGCAACACTTCAAGGAGCCAACCATACACTGTTCTAGGAAGACGAGGCTAAAACCACATCTTTCATAAAAAGGACCAGCTTTTGTAAGCAAAGGGCAGTGTAAAAGAAGGTGGTCCATGGTTTTTGCATTGATCTTTATCTCCTTCAGTGTGCTGTCTTTGCATCAACAGCGCAGAAACCATCAGATGTTCTTTTGTGTCTCTTGAAATAGCTCTTTTAGATGTAACTTTAGGTTGTGAGGTTCTGATGGAAAATACTTCCAAAATCTCGTATGGTTCCTTGTCTTGCCAAAAATCAATAGAAACACTAAGTGACTTGGCCAGATGTCAATAGAAATAGCTGTCATTTTCTGTACGGTCATATAGTTAGAAAGAAATATGAGAATTTTTTAGAATACTAAACTCATAGATCTTTGGAACGATGTTGTCTTTGTTGCTTCCTTATGCAGCTCTTTTCAAAAAGATATTATTAATTACTCTCTGAATATGGAGAAAAGGAACAGTACTGTATAATCGATTATCTTCACCTATCTGAGTACAACCAGGAGCGATAATTAAATTACAAAGGTAAAGGAAATATACAAGGAATATTTACAATGGTTCAAAACTGACAAGGACAAGGAAACAAGAAGTAACCAATGAAAAAGGAAGGTAAAGTTCCTTATATGGGAACTTAGTCACACTTGTCTCAACACTCTTGACAAGCTAGAAGATGCCCTAGATGGTCCCTATCCCCAACATGGTGTTGTTTGTGCAAAACAGCTTCTGAATCACAAGGGCACATTTTTATCAGCTGTTCTCTCTCAGCATCTGTTTGGAACCGTTTCCTTACAGCTTTTGGGTGGAATCTGTGCCTTCCAAATAACATTCCAGATTGGCTTGAGACAATATTTCTGATGCATCCTTTCAAGAAGGAGAAGGCTACTCTATGGATGAACTTAAACAAGGCCTATATTTGGATTGTTTGGAAAGAGAGGAATTCTAGAATCTTCAAGGACATCGATCATTCGGTCCATCAATTGATTGACTCCATTATTTTTTTGACTTTATCATGGTGCAAAAGTGTAAATCCTTTTGATAGTTATAGACTGCCAGTTTAAATTCCCTCCCTTATATCCAACTGGAGAAGTTTTTTGTAACTTCATTGGATAGGCCTTTTTTCTTGTATATTTCATGCTTTCAATGAAATTTGTTTCCTATCCCAAAAAAAAAAAAACACCGAAAAAGGAAGGAGATACTACTAAGAGATGGGCAAGCTGGAAAAAGTAGCATAAAAGATAAAAGGAGAGGTATTTTGCAAGTGAGTCCCACTCGACGGCACTCCCTCTCGAATTGGATGTTATATAGAATATGCAAAATTTGGTCCTCAATTCTTCAAATTTTGGGCCAAATAAAGCTTTAGAGATTATATATGCAGTTTGTAATCTCGCGGCAGAGTAGATGAGCATGAGTATAATGATTTTTTTTTTTTGGGATGAATTATTTATAAATCCCCATGTGTTTTGTTAAGAATATGATTAGGATCATATTAGAGATATTATGAGGATATAAAGAGGGTATATTTGTCATTAGGAAGGAGTTGACTCGTGGAAGATGGTCAGAAAAAGGGAGTTTGAAGATTTTTGAGGTAGACCGTTTCTGGAAATAGTTCGTGGGAGAGTTCATGCCTCTCTAAGTGCTAAAAAAGCAATTTTCCTTCTTAATATCAATACTATTTTCTATTACTTTCTATTTCAATTTGCGGTTCCTGTTCGGCGTCACGACAGAGTTTGATGGGCTCTTCTTGAAGAATTTCTTCAATAATCCTTTTCAGTAGAATTATTTAATATCACATGATCCATATTATCGAATTCATGTATGATCTTAAATTATCATGTAGGCTAAATAGTTATTCCTGCTTACAATTTCTGTTCATATTATTGAATTTCTTATAAAAGAATGTATGATCTCTACGACTAGGAAATATAAGTGACGTTTTAAACCAGGATTTTGTAGATGTGTACTGGAAAAGATATCCTTGTTGTGCGTACTATTATGTATTCCAGTAATTAAAGTATGGTTTGGATGCACATGGATTAACTTCTCTTCAGACAGAATTCTTTGGAAGAAGGGCTGGAGACAATGAAGAAAACAGTTGACAATCTTCAAAATAAGCTACGGATGGTATGATTGTTCTCTCCAATGTTTCAACTTTGCAGTCAACTTCCTTATGAGTTTAACTGATCGATCTTTTTGTGGTGTGTAGGACGTGGAAATTGAAAAGCATTTAAAGCTGAAGGTGAATGATTTGGAATTGAAGCTGGTTAGTACTTCCACTTCTCTTGTAGTAGATATTCATACCCAATTTTATGGTATAAATCTTGTTTACCTCCTATGCAGATCCGCATGGATGATATGGTTAAAAGCAAGATATCAGGGTTTTATCAATACTATTCTCAATATCGAGATCATATATTGAATTTATTGGACAAAGAAAAATCAAATATAAATTCAACAATAGGAGAGATTGAAGAAAAGATTACACTATATGGCCGGGAATTTCAGAATTTCAAGGATTCTGAAAGAGAGCTAAAAGCAGACAATGATTTACCGGATGAGCATTTGAGTATCAATGCCAAGGTAGGTATACTGGAGGTAGAAATGGACTCCCTTCAATTGGGAATAATTGATAATGGAGTATCTATGCAGTTTCTATATTGCGGTTCTTGTTATATTAGTCATTGGTATTATTGGCTTGTGGATTTACTATTTGTGACCAGGCATATTCCATTTGTTTATTGGAAGCTTGTATATATTGTCGTTCAATGAAATTATTTTAGGCCCCTCTTGCACTTGGGTTTCCTTGTTCCCATTCTTGTTTTCTTTGTGCTCCTTTGGGGTGGAATACCATGATATCTGTATATAGCAGGTGAGATACCTTGTAAGTTATAACTATAAGGAGGCTGTTAGTATGTGCAAATGAGATTGTAGAGCCTAGGATTAATAAGAATGAGATTACGAAGAATGGGTTTCTGAAACTTGTGTTCGGATGTGAATGAGATTGATATTTACAAGCCTCAAGATATAAAAATGGTGTTTGGTTTGTACTTTTGTAAGAATGAGATTTGTGAAAATTTGTTTGTAAATTTATGTTGGTTAAAATTACAAGTTAGTCCCTAGACTTTCTAAGTTTGTGTCATAGATTTTTTAGCTTTAAAAAGCATTTAACAAGTTCCAAAACTTTCATTTCGTGTCTAATAAGCCCCTTGGATTTTAAAAGTATCTTATAAGTTCTGAACTTTTAATTATGTGCTGAAGACCTATTTGACATTTTTTAAATTCATGAACTTATTGAACACAAAATTGGGATTGTGACCTCTCAGTTTTCTGTATAATAAGTATGTGAATTTTTTAAAAAGTTGAATAGGTAAAGAGATCTATTAGATACAAAATTGAAAGTTCAAGGATCTATTAGACACTGTTAAAGTTCGAGACCTATTAGACATAAAATTAAAAGTTTACAAATCTGTTAAATATTTTTTATCGTTTGAGGGAGCTATTAGACACAAAAGTTTAGTAACTAAACCTTGTAATTTATCATTTATTTTTTATTTACAAGAAATAATTTCTTAAACTAATCTATTCCAAACATTATCTTGAATAAGAATAACTGTGTGAGAACTTATTTAGTGTGCACAATTTATTTGTGGCCTTGTAATTTTATTTTGGTTTTTGACATTTTGTTTGGAATGAGATTTGAAGAGCATATTTTTTCATTCAACCTTAACTGGTATCTCATTCCTTCAATGAAAATTTGGACGCCCCTGTGGGATTTATCATGATTGATGGGGAGGGGTTAAATTCCTTATGACTTTTTCAACACATTGTAGATGAATATTCCTGGCTTACCAGATTCTGTTGCTGATGAAAATCTTGAAGCCTCTGGGGCCCTTGCTCTGGCACTTCAAGAAAAGGTACTACTTTCTTCCCACAATACCCTTCTGTCCCTCTGTCATAAGATGCGGCAATACTCACTTTCCGTACTATCTTAAGGTGTATTGTTCTATTTTTCTTCTAACTCTCTCCTTAATTATGGATATTTTGTTAGGTTTCAGCTTTGTTACTTCTTTCACAACAGGAAGAGAGGCATATGCTGGAGAGAGATGTCAATGCAGCTCTTCAAAGAAAAACAGAGGAGCTCCAGAGAAACTTACTACAGGTTTTATTCCTTCAACTCGGCTTCAAGATTTCAGAGTATCGTTTTAAAATTTCTTGAAGACGTTGTTTCATTTGAAAAGGGAAAATAAAGAAAAGGGATCGTACCTTGAGAATTTATTTGATTCAATGCTCTCAGTTTTATCCACAATTTGCTATGCAATGCCATAATTATATACGTTTGTGTGGTTAATCCATCATTCACATGGTCAATGACTCAATGGTCATAAAACTTCTCTCGGATATATATATGCTATGATTTGAAATGGTTTTTACTCATTTAGATTCTCCATGGAACATTCTTTTTAAAGAAACTTCCAATTAAGGATGAAGATACCGATAGAGCCTACCACAAAACATACTTGGCTAAGAAAGCAACCACTATAAGTAGCCGGCATGCAAACTGCAGAAAGTAGAATTAGTTGGGGCTTAGAGCAAGTATTAAAATGCACCTAGTCTCAAATCTGAACCATTAATAAACTAAATCATAAAATTCTTCCTGTCATGTTTTAGCAAAATGCTCTAGAGTAGCCAGGATTCCTATTCCTACACGTCTCCCCCTCAAAAAAATGTGATATATGCTTATATAGCCTGAGCAATGAATCAGTAGATGGCAATGACATCTGACTTCTGTCGTACAAAAAATTAGGGGAAAAGAGAAAGAAAGAGAAGAACCAACTGCATCTAAGCATGCAGTCTTTAATATGATATGTGTGCGATCAAACACTGGAAAAATGTCATACATTCAAAAGTATGACATTTTCAAAGACGCTACAGGCCACCTATTCTTTGGAATGAAAGTAACGGTTGGTTGATGTGATTCTAAAATGATAATCACGCCTTTTATTTCAGGTTACCCATGAAAAAGTAAAAGTGCTTATGGAGCTGGCACAAGTAAAGCAAGAACTTCAACTACTTAAAGAGTATGTTTATATTTGCAAAGCAACTTGATATTGAATTTTTTTTTTTTTCCTGGGTGGGATTCGAACTCTTGACCTCTTGGTTAGATGTCAATTACTGTTGAGCTAAGCTCATATTGGCAGCAATATAATTTGTTACTGCAATTGCTTTTTTGAATTTCTCCCTCAAGTGATTTTAACACCTTTAATAACTAAATTCCTCCATACTGCTGAAAGCAGTATTTCAGTAGGTTTATGGATGGACTTATTCAAGAAAGGTCCCTCAAACTCAATCTCTACCAACAACATGTAACTATAGGTTAATTCTTATGGCTAAGGAAAGTAAAATTGATCCGCATGAAATGTGCTTATGCAAGGAGAAGTGTTCATGACCAAGGAGCCGACACCGTGGATAGGAAAGTTGTTACTCACGAGAGGGAGGGGAGACTAAGAGGCTTGCTGAAGGGTTCATATCTGAGGCGTTGGGTAGGTACACCAGAAATTAGTGGAAGTGAAGCTGCAGCTCACTTGGATAATGAAGAAAATTACTCTTCTCGGAAGTCTGGTGTGGATTTTGCTAGGTTAGTCAACATTTATGGTGTTCTTTAGAATTGTTGGATTGTCACTCATATATGTATGGGTTTTGCTTGTGATATCCAATGACATCCTTAACTGTATTCCAGTTTGATATATGAAAGACTTCACTATTTTGATTTTGTTGTCAGAATGAAAATTGAAAATGCAACTCTTAGAGAAAGCATTGAAAGCATAGAGCACCTGACCTCTTCAACTCACAGGCTTCGTCTCTCCCTTCTGAAGGTTACCTTCAAACTCCATTTATATAGTTCAAAAGCATTAACTGTCTTTTGGTAGTTTACTTTTCGTGCAAGGGGGATTCCTGAACTTCTTTGTAAGTTAAATTATAAATTTAGTCAATAAACTTGAATGGATGTGTATTTGTATATTTAGTTCCTGAATTCTAAAGAGTTATAATTGTGTCCGTGAACTTTTGATTTTGATAAGTCACTGCTGATAACACCGTTATTTAACTGTTGTCGTGACACAAACAAGTGATGAGTTGGCACAATGTGGCACTATAGGAGGCATATGGGTCCCTACCCTTATTTTATCCAATTGGGGAGTAGCCCACAATGTGGCACAATAGGAGGCATATGGGTCCCTACCCTTACTTTATCCAATTGTGACCTTGGGCTACTCCCTTGAACCACTCATTGCTATGTTAGCTTTAAATGATCACTTATGAATAATCCAACCACCATGCCACATCAACATTGTGATATTAACAGGAAAGGCTTGTTAGAATCATTAAGATGTATTGAAATTTTTCAAAGATCAGAGACTAAGTAGACTTGTGAAAGTTTAAGGACTAAATTTGTAATTTAATAATGGCCATCACTAATAATATTTGCTTATTGCATCATTTGATTTACTAAAAGGTCATCAAGTCACTTGTTATTGAACTCAAGCTGTCATTGTTACAAATATAACTATTGTTAATTTTCAGGCCAAAGAGTCTGTTACTTCTGAAGGTCCAGCTACAAGTGTGTTGGAAGCTCTCAAAGACATAATCAACGAAGCAAAACTCATAAAGACTGCACTTAGCAGCTCTTTACCCATTAGTTGGTCAGGAGAGGTAAATACTGGATCCGGTAGGGAAACTTTACATGATTCAAGTGATGTTCTAGGAGACTCTAACCTGGGAAAAATAGATTTTGTCTCTGCTGCTGGTTTTGAGATGGTTGAGCTCCTTATTTTTGTTGCTGAGTTGTTATTGAAGGATCACACAGCTGAAAGTGGTTCTTGATATGAAACTGATTGAATTCTCAATCACTTGGCCTTGGATTCTGGCATGCTTATGATGCTGCTGTCCATTTCAATGCTCTGCAGATTGATGGATGAGTAAATGATGGGGGACGAGGGTAGAAGAAAACTGATGTACCTTAGGAAATGATAACAGGAGAAAAGAAAATGAAAATCTGTGCATTACTGTAGGTTTCTGTCGAATATACAAACTGTAAATGCATGTATCCTGTAGTCTATGGCTTTGATGGAATCGCGTTGTCGAATCCACATTATATGCTCCTAGACATTGTTTACATTTTTCATATGTAGATTGTTTGATTGGGTTAAGGTTGTGTGACACAGATGGGAAAACAAGTGTAGTCTGTTCAAATTTACCTGTCAATACAAGATTTCTTTTCTAATTTGTTTGCCTATGCCTGCTTTTGAAGATTGATTGGATATGGAGGGCAGGGGAATTTGTCATTAGAATGTTTACTTGCATTGATCACTCATCTAATTGCTTTGGATTTATAGTTCTTGTGTACTAAGGAGCCTTTTTGATAACCTTCTGTTTAGCTTCATCTTGTTTTCGGTTGCTCTCGGTCTTCCAGTTAAAAAACAACGTCGATGATGTGTGGGTGCACTATTATGCTGTGGAGATTGTAACTTTCCATCTTTTTAAATAGAAAGGGTTTAATTTAAAAATTATCTAAATTTAGGATAAATCGTTTTTAGGGATAAATTTTGGGTAATTTATTTTTCTGAAAAGACGATTTATCCATAAAATAGTTTCTATCAGAAATAATTTTGGGTAAATATTTTTTGTACTAAATTGAGTTATTAAGGCTCACTGTGATCTCGTTTTTTGTTTTTCGTTTTCAATTTTCTTAAGAAATTTAAGCAATTTGAAATTAAGGTCTTGTTTACTTATCTGCAATCCTATCAATCTTATTTTCATTCTTTAATATCTGGATCCCACATATATATTATAATTAATGGGCCACTTTTATTCTTGATGGATTAAATCTATATAATTTTTAATTAGTTTTTTTTATACTTTTATAATTTTTTCTCCATTTATACTCCAATTTATTTTTGTTAGTTGATGTGATTTTATTATATAATATTAATATTAATTAATATCAATAAATTTTTTAAATAGATATTATTACTTTTAAATATTAGAATAATAAAACTTAATAATATGTTTTATTAAAGTTTGGTTGTTCTAATAAAAAATATTTTATTTGATGTAATTTTATTTTAATTATTCGTTATGTATTAATATATTAGATACATTGTTATAATAATAAATATTTACTATCAATAATATAGTAATAAATTAAATTAAAATGTATTATTATTGTAATTTTAAAAAAATTAGTTCAATAATATATTTGTAATTAGCTAAAAAGGAGAAAGGGGTATATTAGTAATTGTCATATATCTGATTTCGGTTCCGATTCCAGACAGTTTTAGTAAATAACATGAAAGGAATTTTGATTACGATTCTAGAAAATTTCTAGTAAACAACAGGAATAACATTAAGATTCCGATTGATTTCATTACGATTAATTTTCATTACGCGGTTAAGTAAACGTGGCATAAGTGTTTTTATTATTTCTTCTTTTTTGGGAATATTCTCGAAATTGCATAGAAATTTTGAAAATAACTGAAATGGATTTCTTCAATTTGTTCTAAAATATAAATAAAAAGATTGTTTTATCATTAGTGACGGATCCATAAATTTTGTTAGGGGGCTTCAATTAATTTACAAGTATAATTTTTATGATCTTGAGGCTGATAATGTCATTTTTGTAAATATTTTTTTACAAACTTGATCTCGAATATTACAGACAAAAAATTGTAGGTATCTTAGGGAGGGCTTGGCCCTTTCTTCCACTGCGTCAATTATCATACTTAATTCATAGATGTTGTCATGTATTTTATTTTTCTTTATTACAAAAGCAAGAAATATTTAACATATATATATATATAGTTGCTGTTAGGTTAAATTACCATTTTAGTTACTTTAATGTAGGTTTACTTTTTATTTAATCTTTGTACTTTAAAAGCTTTATTTTAGTTGAAATATTTTGATTAAATCTTCCTTGTCATTACAAGATGTTAATTAGTGTTTTATTTGGGACGTTCTTTACAAACGTAGCAATGTGCTAACTTTCAATTTAATTTATGTGTGTTAATGCAAAGAGAGCGAGGGAATCGAGTTTTTTATTAAAAGGAAATGAGTTTTGCCTTTTAAATACCAATTTGAATCTCAATCAAGCTCGAATTAACTAATGCATCTAAATTCCTAAAAAAAACAAAAACTATAAATGATCAAGGCACACTTATGTTTGACCAGGAAGTCACGAGTTCAAATCTCCCCCAAAAAGTAAAAAAAACTTACCTACCAACCATAAAGGGTTAATTAATATTATCTTTTGAGTTGAGAATTAAATATAAATGTAATAGAAATATGCCCTCCATTTTGGTTAATATATTTATTCACATTCACTAATATTTTGTTAACATTATTTACATTTTCACCAACATTTCTACAAGAAAATAGAAATATCAATTAACCCTTTATTGACGTTGAATCCAATATGAAAATATTGATAGAAATATCAAGTACGATTTACAACCATACTCCGAACAATAACAAAGGTGAGTTCCAATGTTCTACATGGATGCCTGTATAGCAACTCCTAAAGCTCCCTTCATGCAAAACTTAGTGTGCAAATATGAGTGTAAGGTTGGAAAAA